GCTGGTAACTATTGAACTTTTTTTCAAATTCCTAAGATTGATGCTAGGTTAATGTACTAATTGCTATGAGTTTGAGCAAGGCAATATTTAGCATATAGTTTAATGTTCTTTCACCTGAGGAAATTAATAGATAGTTTTAACCCAGTTAGTTATATTGGGCTATCACTTCCTACAGGTCTGAACCTATAGCAGTGAAAGATTTATTACTGCTTCTCTAAGATTCGAGGCAGAAATGAGTGTCTGAATTTTGATAGTTAACTTTCTCAAAAGGATGTTATGCCTAGCCAGCTTTATAACTACTACGGATGATCAAAAGTGTTCATGCTGAACACTTTAGAAGTGCCAGATTTCTGGATATCCATCTCTTCAACAGAATAGGAGGTCACCCAGAGCATAACACTGTTGCCATTAAAAAGCTTTCTTTTCTTCAGTCTTGAAGTGAGAAACACAGAGGAAGAAAGAAGCACTGAGAGTACAAAAATAATAGTACATGCAGCATAGGAAGCAGCTATTGTTGTCCTTACTCATTGTTCATATGGAAAAAATAAGCCTCTGTGAATTAAGAAGGATTTAAGGTAGTCTTGGAAATGTCAAAGGTCCAAATAATGAAAAAGGCTGATATGTTGTCAGTTTTGATGCTTCTCCATTTTAAAATGGGTTAAGCCCCAAATAAATTGTTTCCATGTTCTGTAAAAGAGGTGTCCTAAATTAGAGTATGGATTGTAACTACAGATTGTATTGTAGCTACAGATTTTCTGATACTCTGGAATTCCCTGCAATACATATGTAATGTCTCTAGACAGGACCTTTTTTCTGGGTCAGAAGGGTCTATTCTACTTCGGCTTTTATTAAAAGTTTATCTTTACAATACCTTTTTTTTTATTTTTAAAACCTAAATTTAGTTTGGTGTAGTTGAATGTCTGCAAAGACACATGCTTTTCTATTCCTAGAGAAGAGGTGGTTATACATAAGGGAACCAATAATAGTGACAAAATTTCTCTGTTGTTTCCTTATGAAAAAACCCACCCCAACACCCCTGAAAAAAAAAGCCCCACAAGACCCCAGTGTTTATTTGTCCAGAAAAATAAGTGTTTATTTAAAAACAAGGACAAAAAAATCACTGAAAGCTGTGTTTTGCATTTCATGTTCTGGTGGGCTAAATAAAATAATTTTTAGACTAGTACGTGTTTCAGGTCTTTCAGGTGCCATATATTTTACCAGATTTGTGTAGATGTCTGTTAGCTCATCCTGTCATCCAGGCGCTAGCTACTGCATTAGAAAAATTAGGTCTTCAGAATGACTTTATCTGGACGTGGTCCTGAACTTTTTCTAGACGACCTTTCATGGATGTTGGACAAGGTGATCACCAGAGGTTCCTTCCAACTTAGCGTTCAGTGATTCTGTGATTTTAGCAGTTCAATGAAGTATCAAAAGACAGTAAAAAACATGTTCTTTTGGATTTTGTTTTTTTATTTCTCAGAATCAACATCTTTACTTCTTAGCACAACATAAAGAAACATGTTAAATGTGTATGTGAGAGTCTAAATCTGGTTCTTTGTTTTTTACCTTTCCCTGTCCCTTACGTAGAAAAGGGAAGTAGTACTTCACAGTGGTGAAGTATGATGTGTCAATGGAAAAATCATTGAATTTCCTGAAAACACCATTCAAAGAACAAAATATTATTGCACTCTCATGCTATTTTTCTGATTTGTTATTTTTTTCATTCTCTTATTTCCTGATGCAATAGAACTTCATATTATCGCTTCTGACAAAACCCGTACTCTGAAGGTTTCATTACATGTATGATTCATACTTTAGTCTTTAAAAGAAAGGTGTCTTTTAGTCTTTTAAATGATGGTGTTTTATGATTTCTACCTTCTTCTTACTCTGTGTGGTGCGGACAGTAAACTCACTTTCATATTCTTCTATTGATTGTAATAGGCTTGCTGCAGATCTTTAGTGTACTCCTCCATAACCAAAGATAAGGTTGGTTATCCTGCCAAAGGGAGCATGGCTTAAGCTGTCACATCAGGTAGCCAGGAAGGAAAATGAAGTTATCCTTACAAATAAATGCAGAGTAGTGAAGTAATAGTACTGCTACAGTTAAGGTTGGGATGAATTTGACCGTTGAGTTGAAGATCATTTCCTGCTTTAAATATATTCTGAGATTATCTTAGAAGTGTCTGTATCTTACTGAACATACAATTATTGTGAACGGTTGCATTTAAGGAACAAGAGATCCACAAGGTCTAGTGATTCTTGACCCAGTGCAAGGACATTTTTTAGATAGACAAGAGGTGATTATACATAATGGAACCAATGATAGTGACAAAATTTCTCTATTATTTCCTTTTGAAAAAACCCATCCCAACACCCCTGAAAAAAAAGCCCCACAAGCCCCCAATGTTTATTCCTTCAGGAAAATAAGTGTTTATTTAAGAACAAGGACAAATAGGAATGGGGAGACAGCATTGTACAGCACCTTATCCAATTCTGATATGAGTGTGTATGAGAATATATATGTGAGGATCAAATTGTCACAGTTAATTTCAAAGTGCATCATCAGACTATAGAGAGACTTCTAAGAAGGACTCTGAGATTAGTGGTGAATTTCTAGAGTAATAGGTCTTTTATATGGCTGAAGAAGTGTTTATCTGAACTTAACATTACTCATCTCTAGTGTGTCTGACATTACTGAGTTGCCTTGAGGTCTTTGTTCTGGGTTTTGCTGGGTCATGTTGGGTTGGTTGTTCTAGGATTTGTTTCTAACTAGGACCAAACACCAAGCAGGAATCTTACTTTCAGCATATGTCTGGTATCTCTGCAGATGCAAAGAATATGATCCTAACTAAAAGGTTATCTTTTGAAAATAATACTGATATAATTGCTTTGTTTTGATATTCAGGAGAAAATTGAGAGGTTTTTTTGTTTTATTTGTTTATTCTTATTAAGGATATAGTTTAGGTGTTGCAGTTTTCATCATTCTCTGAAGTAGCCATTGATAGAGGTAAGGTTCTGCATTGCCTGAAGAATTGTGGCTGAAATCCATCAAGAATGCCAAAGTAAACAGATATGAAAAACCCCACAACTAATGCAAGTGTCAAATTTTCTTCGCTCAAAGGAATGATCTCTTATTTGTATGTACATAATCTAATTCTGTCAGGGACAGTGTTACTGTTAGGCATTTACATAAACAGATCAATAAGCACTTAGCTTAAGGGAAGTGCATTTTCAAAATCACAGATCCATCTTTTCTCTGTGTGATGATGTAGATATTTTTGTCACAGAGAGAAATGACTGCTTAATAATATAATGAATATTTCTGTTACTCCTGTAACATTATTATCAGATCACAGGTTTCTGAAAGGATGACTGTAGATAATATTTTACAGTGAATCTTTTGTGTACAGCCGAATAGATTGTAAGGTTACACTAATGACACCTTTTTAGTAGACTAGATAATAGAATCATAAGCACAGACCAAGTACAGAGTTTGGTTGGTTGACGCTACATGACCAAACATGACTTTTGACATTTACTGAGACAGGTCTGGCAGTTTATGCATAGTCTTTACTGTTGCCTTCCTCTGTAAAATAGTGATGCCCAGTAAAATGGAAGTGATTTCTGGGGAAAAGTTGAGGTGATGTTGATTTTTCTTCTGGGTCCTTCCCTTCTGTATAGAGATTTAAGCAGTTGAACATATCTTTGAAGAATTTAAGCTGTGACAGGTCAGCTTTAAGAAAGTATAATGACATAGTTATTTTGTTTTAAATAACTGCAGGTTATGAAAAATGTTGTATTTTTAAATACCTTGAATTTTTTTGCATAAAAAAATGTTACTGATTCATTTTTGATCTTCAGATATGTGTGCAGTAGAGTAGGAATTTTTATGCCTATTTTTGGAAATGTAAAATAACTCCAGGAGAACCTGCACTGCCACAGAAGTGGGATACTGGAACATGAACTATTCACAGTGTACCTCACTGATTTTTTTAATATCTGATTGAAGTAAATGACATCAATCACTGAGGTGGCAATGTAGAAATATGGAAGTGCTATAACAGCAGTAATCATTTCCACAAAGAAGAAGTCAGCTTTAAGAATGTGTGTAGGAGGAAAATTTTTTCTAAGAATTAACTGCATTTGAATATCATTTCATATAAATAGAACATACCACCATATGACTGATATTTTCATTTCTAGTAATCATTGATATTCTTTGATTCCATCTTTTGAATACTAAGTTTTTGTTTCTCTACAGTAATAAATAAATAATATGCCTTATTCTGATTTTCATTGCATTGTAAGATGTGTTGTGTTGCACAACACGGCCTGAGAGCGATCAGCGTTTCTTCAGCCTGGAGTGCACAAGAGTGATTCTGTGCAATGCTGATCCCCAGCAGCGGACAAACCCAGTTGATGCTCTTGCAGAGCTGGTGCAGTTCCTGGAGGGTCCTGGGTCCTTGATCTGCAGAAGCTGGGGCATGCTGGTCCGCTCCTTGATCTTGAGGCCAAGGTACTTCCAAGGGGTGGTGCGCTGGATCTCCTTGGCTATCTCAAACCCTCTGCTCTGGACAGCTTCAGAGACATCTTGAAAAGCACAGTCTAATAGGAAATGAGTCTCTACACTAATAAGGATGTCATCCATGTAGTGGAGGATGATCACATTCGGGTATTTTCTCTGAATAGGGGACAAGATCTGGGCCACAAATCACTGGTGGATCACTGGTGAGTTCTTCATGCCTTGTAGCAAGACTGTTAGGGAAAGACTGAGAAGGCAAATCAGGGGCATCTTCTGGGTGGAGCAGGGTGTTAAAAAAACCAGTCCTTCACATAGATGACCACCATCTGCCAATCCTGGGTATCATAGATGCTGATGGCAGTCTGGGCTGGAGGGGACCCATATCCTCAATGACCTCATTGATCTTTCTCAGGTCTTGCAAAAGCTGCCACCTGTCCTTGCCAGGCTTTTGAACGTTAAAGACAGGTATGTTCCAAGGGCTAGTGGATGGTACAATATGGCCCTTGGACAGCTGCTCCTGCACGAGAGACTGCAGCGCCTTTAGCTTTTTATCTGGAAAGGGCCAGTGATCCATCCATATGGATTTATCAGTCCTCCAGGTTAGCTGAAGGGTGGCATGCTGCTCAGTGGCCCTGACCGCAGTGGGACAAAGATTTCTAGTCTTGCCCCCGACTGAGTTCATAGGTCCCTCCCCCAGAGTGTTATAGGGGACCGGACCACAAAAGGTCTTACCGTGGGTACCCTCCCCTCAGGTCCCTCAATACAGATGATGTCCTGGCTCCTGAAACTGATGTTAACCCAATGCCCAGAATGACTCCAGTGGTTGGTACAAGGGGCCACTCCTTTGGCCACTTGGAGCAGGAGATGATAATGACATCCACACTGGTGTCCAACAGTCCTGTGAGGTGTATGGTTTTTCCCTTCTGGTATAGAGCACACTCTGCAATAGGTCTATCATGACCCATGATCTGAGCCCACATCACTAGTGAATCTGCAGGCATGATGACAGTCAATTCTGGCAAAAGATAAGATTGGGAGACAACAGTGCCCTTGGGGATGAAGAGAGTGGGGTTCAGGTATAAAATATAAACTGTAATTTCCTGTGTTGATGTTATAATTGGTACTTTGGGGTGGATAGTATGTCCCTCTATCCCCTCTCTCGTGTCCACCATAATTAAAATGTCTTGGGGTTGATCTTCCGGCCTGTATTTCCCTGTCGGGATGTTATACACTTACATGTCTTCAGTGTGTATACAAAGTGTGCTTACTAACTGTTTCCAGGTTCCCAGCTGGACCTGTCGTAAGTTGAGCCCTTCTGCAATGATGGTGCTGTCACGACAGACTGGAGGAGCTCAGCAGGCTGGTCCTCCACGATGGTTGAGAGATTAGGGTGAAACAGCCTTGCATTTGGTGTCATAGCACAAGGCCTCTCCGCACTCAACCAGGAGTTTCCTGGAGGTTGGTGACGCCACAAGTGGTGTTATGTGTGTTGTTGTTGGTGTTTACACTGAGGACATTGTGCATGATGGGGAGGACATCCCCAAAAACAGGATCTATTGTCACCTTAATTTAAACAGTTCCATTGGAAATGTCCCATCTCCCCGCACTTAAAACATTGGCTATTTCCATCAGTGTTACTGTGTTTGTGGGGGATTACCTTAGCCACAACCATTGCTTCCACTGTACCCTGGCTAGCACACTGGCTTTTACTAAACTGGTGTCCCGGTCCACTGTTGCTCTAAGGGTGCAGGCCTCTACCATCTGGGCAGTTGTTGGCTTGGTATCGATAGGGAGAGAGCATAAAATATCTTTACAGTTATTATTTGCATTAGTCACAGGCAGGTGTTCTAATAGCTCTTGCCGAGCCTTTGGGTGGTCAATTTGTTTATTTATAGCCTATGTTACATGGTCCACAAATTTTCTAGAAGTCTTATCCAGTGCTGCTTTAATGTTAGTAAAATCTATATTTGGTGTGATCCCATCTGGAGTTTGCAACAAAGCTGTTTTAGCTGTACCCTTAATGTTCTCTAACACTGGCTGGGGAAGGTCTATGGCTTGGTCTTTTGGCTTAGTAAAATCCCCCTCCCTGGCTAGGTGGTTCATTGATAAATGTGCCTGTCCATCTTCCCGGGCATAGTCCTTTAATAGCTGCTGCAATTGTTTTTTCCATACTCCCTCCCGCAAGATGAATTCAGTGGGAGAGAGCAGGTTTTGCATAAAGTGCCTCGAGTCATGATGCACCATAATGTGAGCTACAGTAAGTTGTTAAAATAAGGTGAGTTCCTCCTGTAATCCTTTTGCTGCCTTACAAATGTCTTTCATCTCCCCATGGGGGACAGATTACCACTGGGGGTTAGCTCCTGTGCGATACTGTGCTGGTGCCACTTGAATTTTCAACACCAGTTCCCAGTCACCCTCCCTTGCGGCTGCTTTTGCATCCTTTGCCAAAAGTCTTCAAACTCAGATGAGCCCTCACTCTCTTCCTCTGAGGGGGAAGCCTATTTCTCGGACGAGGAGCAATGCATTTGGCCAACTGGCAAGGCCCAGTGTTTTGGGCTTTCAGTAGCCAAGATGGCTACCTTCTGGACATCATCATTTCCACTAGCATGGGAAACAGAAGAGGTTGGGTTGGAGGACGTGGGGCCCATCCAAGGGAGGGACTTCCTGGTGGAAGGGGAGGGTCCTGATACAGGGGTGGTACTCAGTGCGAGGGTGGGGCCTGATGCAGGGGAAGGATCTGACAAAAAGGTGGGAAACAGGGAGGGCGGTGGGAGTGAATTCAAAATAGCGGTTCCCCTCATGGGGTGGGCACCATTTTGTATGGTGTATGATGGGAGGATAGGATCAAGGGGTGGCAGAACATGGGTTAGGACAGAGTGGGGCAGTATGGCCAGTACCATCCTGGGTAGACAGGGAGGGGAGATGGCAGGCAGCAGATGGCTTGCTTGTGTCTCATTGCAGGTTCCATCTCCCGTCCTGTTCTCCAGAATAATGGGATTAGGAAACATGGAGACGGAATGTAACAACTGGGGAAGCAAGCTCGAACCACTAACTTGGGAAATGACCTCATAAATCAAATGAAAAACAGAATAAAACTTAGCAACTTTCAAAACCCCCAAGTTTGTAAAAAATAAATCCTCTCCCCAACAGAATCCCAAAACTCCACTTGGTAAGCTAGATCATAGAAATATTTGGAAACTCTTTAAACAACCACTGAATAAAACATTTTAAATTCCCCTTAACAAAAGGTTTCTCCTCTAGAATCAAAATTTCCCTAACCTGTATGTATACGTGCCTTTCAGCCTGGGACAACACATTCCCCATGGCTGCCTTTGATGGAAAAGGATTGCCCACCTATAGGAATTAAACAACTAAACCCTTTTCCCCTGCTTTCCTGGCTGTCTCCCAACCAATATCTCTCTCTCTGGCAGATCTGGGTGCAGGTCTTCAAGAGATCCTGTGGGCTGTTGTCAGCCGAATCGGTCCTCCTGCTGTCTGGAGTGTGCTGACTCTCCTTTCCACAAGCCCTGATAAAACTCAGGTCTTGCTTCTGGGTTGTGGCTCACCTGAAGATGTCTTGCTTCCGACAACAATGGACCGGATGATTTGTTGCTGGAGTCGCTCTCAGGGACCTCCAAAAAGGTCCCTTTTCAGGTGCCACTCGTTGTGTCACACAACAACATGGCCTGAGAACGACCAGCGCTTCTTCAGCCCAGAATGCACAACAAAATCTTTAGGCAGACAACAGAGATGAGGGATGGGTCTTTGTATTGTGCTCCAGGAAAGGCTACTGAAGAAGGTCCAGGGACAAAGACAATAATGTTTTGAGGGCACAGGATTAAATACAGGATGACGGGGCAGAGCTGAGGGTCAGGGCCCAGTTGAAACAATGGAAAATTGTGCAAAAGTGTGGCTAGGGACCAGGAAAACCAACAGGGTAATGTGTGGGGCAGTGCAGCAAACTGGGGCCTATAGGAATCAGGGGAAGGGAGAACATTCTAGGGAGTTACAAATATGGTGAACAGGGGTTGGACCAGGATGACATAAACTTGGTGAATCAAAGGGGGAATAAATTTAACAATACATCATCATATAGTTGCAAAGAACTGTGGGAGAGAATCCTTCTCTCACCCCTGCCTCAGGGGGTATTGCTTGTTACCTCCTCTCCAGTGTCATGGGATGAGGGTTTTCATCTTTGGCCCTTGGGCCTCCACAGTGATGAGTCAAATACTTTCAGCACTTGTTTGTTAGTTATTTCACTGGTCAGTCTGGCAGTTTTCTCTGTCATCTTTCACTGTGATTTACTAAGTTCTCTTAATGTTTGGTGAAAAGGGCTTATTTGCAAATTTCTTAGCCTCATAATCAAGTATGTGTCTGATTAAGTCAAAATCTTAAAATCTATCTCTTCTAAACACAATCAGAATTAAGCAAGGTACTTCTCCAAAATAATTTTCGTAAGCTGTTAAGAAGATTTTTTTTGAAATTACTTATTTGTTGTATTGTAGACTCCTAAATACTTAGAAAAAGTTACAAGCCTCTCTACTTAACTAAGTCAGTATTTTACAATGTGTGATTAAGGAAAATCCAGATTGATTCAATAATGTGTGGCACTCCTTTTTGTGTCTTTCTGGGTTCATGCAGTAGATAATGTTTTGTTGTTGCAAAGGCTATTTCATAATGCTTTGCTATCATACCTGTAGTTTAGTAGTGCAGAAGCAGAAAGTAATGTGAAGTATTCATCGGTTTGAAAATCCTATAGCTTGCAGAAAATGGAGAAGCTTGTTAGAAGTCATCTACTTATTTAATTATTCTAGCTCCAGTTCATGTTTACATCATTAAAAAATATATACTTTGAGTCTTCAGTGTACTTTTGGTCTTCTTCCAGTCTGTATAGAAACCAAACATCTGAAGCTTCATTAAAACTTGTCAATAAAACTTTGCAGGTAAGATAAACAGTATACATCTCTACTATAAAGTCCATACTGTTTATTTGTGCTTGGTATCACTGGTCTTGTCTTGTGATGCTAGGTAGGTATGAATTATTCCAAATAATTAGAATGGAATTTTACACAACAAGAAGTCTATAATTTACCTGGAACTGAGGTTCTAATGAACTGTTTAACCTATGTTAAACCTGTAGAAGCAAAACTGTAGTTGTTGTTTTTTCATGAGTCTAAATAAAAGTAATTTACAAGACAACTTAATAAAGAAGATATACACATAATGTTACACTGAGTCTAAGTAATTTTATTTGTTGGTTACTTATGTTTACTCTAATTTCTAATGTTCCCTGGCTTGGGGTCATGCCATAGGATGCCGAGCTCATTTTACAGACTACTGTTCTTGCTCTTTTGAATTACTTTTAAGTAGAGGTGATGGAAAGGAGTTCAGCAAATGCTTATTGGATGCTAGAATACAGAATCCTTTAGGTTGGAAAAGATTTTTAAGATCAAGTCTAGTGGTTATTTACTTGACTGATTTATTGCAGTAAAGACATATAAAAGTGATGTGTTCAGAAAACAAAGTGTAATATATTGTGATTTAGTTAGAAATAGTATTCACTTTGAAGGACAGAGTGTATAAAAATCTTAAATATTGTTTTTCAATATATGGAAGTTTAAATTTGTAATGCCACTGAATAAAGTTATGTCTTGCTAATCCCTTGCACTTAGAGTCCTGCAACAGCTCATGTAATATTCCAAATGTGAAAAAAGGATGGTGTTGAAGGGATTGGTACTATACCCAAAATACTTTAATCAATTGTAATTCTAAGAACTAACATTTTAAAATAACCTCTGTTTTCACCTTTTGCAGTGTTTTATACTCATGTATGCATCCATACACTCATGTTTTTAGGTGGATGTAGCTAGTTAACTCACTAGCTACAATTTAATCTTTCTTTTTTTTCTTAAGTCTTATTTTTGTAGATGAATTTAACATAATTCCAGCTTGATTTTTTTGTTTTAGAAATAGTTTGTGGAACTGTTTTGTAAAATCTAAATGACAGTGATTCCAAAATTCTTATTAAGTGCTTTGGAAAAGAATAAGCTACCAAAGTATCTGTTTGCTAGGAAAGAAGATAGATTGAGGCGAAAGAGGCTTGTAGTGAGCGTTATCAATTTCTGTTGACATCGAAGCAGTATGAATAATGACTTTCAATTTTATTTCCTGACAATTAAACATTCAAAAAGATTAGCAAAGTGCTTTCTGACTAGTGTTTTGTGATATTTGTGTTTCTTTAAATGTTTCCTGGGAAAATTTCAGATCTAAAATAAGTGCAAAAGGGATACTTGTGTTCATTAATCATTGTTCTTTTTCTTATTTTCGACTTTTTTAGACTACTAATCATAGTAGAAGTATTAGCTTTCATTTCATGCAGGATGTTAGTAGTGGTGTTTCCATTATTACGACATGCAGCTTGTTCATTTTCATTTGAGCTGTAATAAATGTTCATGCTACTGATCACTCAAAGCCAGTGATGTTGCATTTTTTGTACTAGCTTCATGATTAAGACATTTTATCTGATGTTTGATGATATGAGGGGGAGCAATTGCCTGGTCTCAACAGGCAGTACCAGTTACCTTACAACAGTTTTCACACTTGAAAGATAAAACACAAATTTTTGAAGACCTTCAAAAAGGAAGAAGCTCAAAAGGGATTTATAGTAATCTCATAAAAACAGAAAATGGTTTCTCATATTTCAGAAGACCTTATAGATGAAACCTTGTATATTAGGAAGTAGTATATAGAAATATATCTATATGTATATAGAAAAATATAATATATATATATATAGAAATGGAGGAGCTGAAAAACCTCTGTGAAAATTGTGAAAAGTGAAACATTGTCACTGATATGGCCATCAGTGAAACATAGCCAATGTGACTGTGCTCTTACTACAATCCCAGTTTCTTTTTATATATTAAAAAAGCAAAACAAATGTATTTTTATGACTAGCAGAATGAGAAGTGAGAGTGTTTAGATTTTACTAAATACCTTTTGTGTTAGAACACTTATTTGACCATAGCAAACGTCGGTATATCATGCCTTCTGGACAGTTAAACTTTGTATCATACTTTAATCCTTCTTTCATGGCAGAGTTAATGTGGCATAGTTTCTCACAAGTTTAGAAAATGTCTATTATATGACTCACTTTATCTCAGTGGAATAAAAGCTCATTGAACTGTTATCCACATTAACCTCTTGATTTATAGTAATATGAATCAGTGTTTGGATATTTTATTTTTCATACCTTGAACTCAATGCAGTAGAATTAGGCTGTTGTATTACATGTTAGAAAAATATTACATATTTGTACATGGACAGTTGTTCTTCAATGATGTAATGGAAGCAGTTTGTTAATTTGCCATTTACTTTAAAGTTTATTAAATCACTTCAATTTTGAAAATCATTTTAAAAAAATCAACCGTACCCAAACCCAAATCATTTGCATACCCTACTTTATCTCTGTTGTTTTTCGGTGAGCAATTTAAATGAATTTTCCAATTGTTTTTATAGTAAAAGAAAATATAGGTTTTCTTCTGATAACTGTAAATCTAACACACTAAGAATAGAGCTAAGTAATTTTGAATAATTTCTAAAATCTGTAATATCAAAGAATGCTTTTAGAATTACTTGCTATAATTAATTTTTACTATTGTAGCACAATAATATCCTGGTTAAAAATGAGAAGTCTGTATTTTAAGTCAAGGTGCAAGGTGGAGGAAGGAGATTGCTCCTGATGGAAAATATTTGCAATATAAGTGTAAATATAAATGTTGAAATACGGAATATATTGTTTCAAAATATAAAGACACCATGAGACTGTAATAGGTATGATAGGTAATGTTTTGAGTCTCTTCAGTCTTCAATTTTTTTTAGGCATCAGAGTACAGAAAATTTAAGGCCTGAATTGAAGAGGACTGTTAGTGTGTCCACAGGACTACTGTCCAGCATGAGATGTGTGAAGGAAGAAGGCACAATGGTTCTTGTTTCACAACACAGGAAGTGAATAGTGGAGGCTGGAATTACTCCTATAGTTCAAAGAGCAGATTAAATCTCACAGTACAGAATGAGACTTCATGGGCAGATAAAACAAAGGCCTGAAAGCATTATGCTGATATTTTTACTGAATAGAAACAGTGTAGAGTCAACAAGAAATGCAGAGAGGAATGTAAGGACCAGAAACAGTGCAGAGACACTGTCTTTGACATTTAGAGAATGAAGAATTTGCTGAAGTTTCATCCTCATGGTGGTCAGTGGATCAGCAGAGGTGTTAGATAATTGTAAAATTAATTACAATAAATTGTAATCTAAAACCATAGTTTTGTTGTTTTTATAACAGGACTAGGAAACAATGCCTCTGACACTCCCAAAATATGCTAGGTGGAGAAAAAACTGTTTTTAATACTCTCTCGATACATTACTTATGATCTTTATGACAAACCTTTTCAACCTGAAGAATAGTTTATTGATGTTGCAAATGAAGCATAGTGGAAGTAGGGAAAAAAATTTTGAATTGGCAAAGGACTTGTAGGAAACTACTAAAGGAAATCAGAGTACATTTGATTGAGTAAATACAGCTTGAGCTATGAATCTCCACTGGTTTAGGTGGTTGTGCAAACCATTTCATGGTCTCCTTTTTCTGTCTGATCCCTTAATGAGACCCTTAG